AAAGGAGGGAAGAAAAGAGATACAGAGAAAAGGAAAGGAAATATGAGAAAAATGGATTTTCTTTTGTGCCAGGAATCAAATTCAGGACCTTGTACTTGCTGGGTAGCACTTGTGCCACTGAGCTATATCCTGGGCCCTGGGATGTGTTTGACCATATTGAAAATTTTCAAAAAAAAAAAAAAAAAAAAAGGAAGAAAGAAGGAAAGAAAAATTTCCAGGGTTAGAAAAGTTTAAGTCTGGATTGAAGGTAGGTGGAGAGACATCACTAATTTAAAAAAGAGGCAATTATTTATTCCGAAAAGTTGTGCAGGAAAGGAAATACAATCATAGTATTCTACATGGCTAAACAACTAAGCATTGTGCAAACATGCAAATATAAAATACTTTAAGATTATACTTTGCAGTAGAGCTAGTTATACTGAGAGTAGAGGAAGAGACACAGACTATGGGGATGGGGAGATGGCTGTGGATATTTGTAAGGAGGAATTGTAAGCAAGCGGGGTCCTTACTGATACAGAATCAAATACTGGAAAAGCTGAGAAATAGCAATTTATGGAGAGAAGTGAGGAAACAACTTAATATGAGAAAGCAACTTAAAACTTCGAAGCAGTTACCTCAAAGCAGAAAGGAAGAGCGGAGTGGGGCGGAGCTGGAGGGCTGCTTCTGCTCATGCTCCGCCGTGCTGTTTGACTTTAAGGAAGCAGCATGTGTTTCAATTTTTTTTTTCAGTGTGTATTTTAAGGAAACTGAACAAAAGAGCTTCAGGTGTTTAAGGTTAAGGAAATGAATGTCCTAAGATTCTGTGATAATTGCAGGTTTGTTTTCCATGGGGACTTTATGGCTGAAAAGCTTATAATAATATACTTTAAAATTTTGGTACAATAAAATTGAAAGGGGAAAACACACTTATCACACGTCCACACAGACAATAGAAGATACCCACACAAAGAACAAAGTAGCAGAGCGGCTGTGATTTATCTAGTCCTGTGATTGCAAGGACTAAGAGTTCGCATCATATGTTGGAAATTCTTCACTTTTCACGCCACCGTACAGGAGTGCCCCTTGGACTCTGGATGGACCTGTGACTGTCCTTGACCAGCAAGTGGTCGCTTGGCTTTGGTTTACTTCTCTTACAGTTGCTCCATTGTTTTCTGTTTGTCAGACACAGGGATCGAGTTTGCCTTCCCAGAAATCTCATTGTTGTTTCATGGGCTCAAGATAACCACCTCCTATCAAAGGACTCTTCTTAGACTTGCTTTTCTAGTTCTTCTGTTTGAGCTCAAAAGCAGCTTTGTGTCAGTTGTGTGAATACTTTCTCCATTGGAGCTGATAACCAACTGAAAGCATATTTTTGGGCCAAATTCTGATAATTGTTATCCAATGGTTTATTAAACACCCTTATGTTCAAGATACAGTTTTAGACACTATGCAAAAGTCAGCTAAAACAGAAAGAGAGGCAGAGAAGGCGGGAGGGAGGGAATCTCGTCCTTAAAAAACAGTAAGATGAGGAAAATAGAAAAGACAAAAGTATGCAGTAACTTATGGTTATTTCATCACAGAGAGATATGTTTGAAAAATTATGGAGCAATCAAAGTGGTTCAATTCATGATTAATAGATCTTGAAAGCTGAAAGAAAAAAAAGGAAAAGAAAAGCAAAGAAAATGGAGAAGTCAAAGACGTGACATACCCTAGAGAAGATTTAAGAACTTACAATTCAGAAATTTTACCACTAGTCATGATTTTAGCTAAAGTTAAAGGAATCAGGAATTAGGTTTAGGAGTTAGGAGGAGATGGTAAAGACTGAAAGGGGGATGTAGAGAAAGAAAGGAAATGAGAGCAAGTCTAACATGGAGATTTACAACTATGGTAATAAATGTAAATAAAGGGAAATAATGGTATAGCATCAATCCAAGTGGTCAAGGATTCGACTCAGAATTTTCTTTCTTTCTTTTTTTTTTTTCTGGTACTGGGAATCGAACTCATGACCTTGCGCTTGCCAGGTAGGCACTGTGCCGCTGAGCTAAATCCCCAGCCAGAATTTTCAAAAAGAAACAGAAAAATGTAAGCTTTTTTAAAAGTAGAGAGTATCCCTTCTTTAAACAAGCATTTTTTTCCTGATGGTAGTATTAACATATCTGTACGATTAAAAAATTTAGACTATTCAGTAAAATATGAAGTGCAAAGCAATAATTGCAATTTTTCCTATGAAAAATATAATTCCTAACATTAAAGATATCTAGCATTTTCTACACATATTAAAAGCATAGTTTGGGTTGTTGCATGAAACTCATCTACTTATTTTATTCATAGTAGGATCCCTTACAAGATGTGAGAAATAATTCATTAATATAATTTTTATGGACCTTATTTCTTTTTCTAAAAACACTAATATTAGTTCCAATTTTTCACTGCCATAAGTAACACCACAAACATAAATTTTTGTAAATCCTATGCTTATGAGGAGTAATATGTAAATCTGAGAAGTGGCATTACAGATGAAACATTCACTATTTTGAAAGCCTTTTTGCTTCTATGTTTGTTTCTTTTTTTGGAAATATCTAGAAGTGCACTTCTATTCATTTCTAGAGAGAAACAGCACTTTCTATATGTGTCCCAAATAAATAAACATCTGTACAACATGACTTCCTTGAAGTAAATGTCTCTAATATTCTCCTGCTGTTCCTTATGGCGCCCATGTCATCCATTAAACCTTAATGTTGATCATGGCCCTTGCAGTTGAGCAGAATAAAGTGAATTTTCACTAGCAACAGTGGGAACAAAATGGAATTCCATTTTGTATATGACTTACAATTCATGTGAGCATTTGTGCAATGTACCTGTCCATAGTGTAGCTAATTATTCTGAGAGCTATGCAAATACTACTCCATAATCAGATAAAAACATGAAATAAATGGTCTGTTTGCAGAAAGATAGCCATGTGTTTATTATGTATTTTGAAGCATGTTTCGAACATCAGCGAGTTAATGCTTCATTTCAAAGCATGCTTTTACCTCACGGTGCCTTATGAGGTAAAGACATGATTATTCCAATGAGACTTCCCCAAGTAAGAGTCTGTCCACCCCGAAGGCACCTCATGGGAGCGGGGAGTGGAGGGGCACACAGACTTGATTCAGCAGGTCCTCAGTCCCCACAGTGGTTTCTTCCCCTGCCCAAGCCCTTTCAAAACCTGCCCTTTGCAGCTAACAGCTTAGTGACTCAGAGTCAGACAAGCACAAGGACCGGAAACAAACTCCTTTGCCATTCACATTCCAGCAGACACAAGCACTTAGTCTCAAACAGCACATTTCCCATGACAGTGAGGGTGGCAGCAGCACGGCACCCACAGGGCCGTGGGCCGCATAAGCTGCGAGTTGGGCTGAATCATCTGGGGCCCGGCTTGGAGGAAATACTGGCAAAAAAGCAGTGAAGGTAGAAACACAGTTTGTATGAAGATTAACAACAGATCATCTCGACAGCCCGGGAGCTCATAAACCTTGTGATGCGTATGGACTACCACAAACATCCTTGTGTGTTGCCTCTATTTTGCCTGCTTCAGAACTCAGTGTGAGGGTTTCAAATGTTGCATTTTTCAATGTTCTCTCTCTCTGTGTGAGTATACACAACTATTTACATATACATGTACATATAATGAAGCCAAGATAAAACAGAAGAGTTTCCATTTCAATGATGTTTTCCTACCAGCCACCGACTGCAGTGGAGGAAAAGCAAGCTGTCCTTGTATTCATCCAGACAGAATCTCTGTAGAGCGGCTGGCACGAGCAGACAAGAAGCCACTGTGAGGTTTGGGGCTGCGGGCTGTGAAGGACAAGAGTGAAGCTACAGAGCCCAGGCCTGTCTCTGCAGGCCAGCACCACCTCAGCCCCGAGATTACTTTAAGCTTTAGGGGGTTGTGGCTGGGCATGCCAGCAGACAGAGACCAAACAACCACTGAGTGAGACTAGACCTGCCTGCCCGAACTCCTAGCGCATCCAGCTGTGGACACATCCAACCAGTGGTTTAAACACGAAGGCCTCTATAGCAGACTTCTGCAAACTATCATACCCATGTCTGCATCCCAAAAGGAGTTGGGCACAAGATAGCAACCGGCAGTAGAATGACCCCCCCCATGAACTAGCTGCACTGGGAAGGCCATCCAGAGGTGCATTTCCTCATTCTTCTTTCCTGCAGAGTAAAGTGCTGAATTAAAGGAGCACTGGTCCTAGCCACCAGTCAGGCTGACAGCCAAATGCTTCACCAAGTCGTGCCTCTGCCTTGCTGCCATGTATCACAAAGAGCCCAACGCTTCTAAACCAGGTTGTCACGAAGGGGCATAGTGGGAAAGTGGTGACTTTCTTTCAAAACAGCACTAAAACATGTTTGCCATCAACCTTCCTGAAACAGAGCCAGGTGAACTGGACCATTCAGCATTGTATTCTCAAGTCTAGACTGAAAGAGCCGCTAACTATTGCCAGTTGTCTAGCAGCAAATGTAAAGTGCTGAGTGGTCCTACAGATATCTACCTTCTGCTCCACTTGGAAAACACAAAAAACTCTCCAATATCTGAACATCAACAATCGAAATATCTCATCTTTCCTAACTCAGTAAATAGCTGAGAGTTGCTCAGGCCTTATAAAACGATTATAGGTAGCCCGAAATGTCCCTGCCTTCCTGTTCCTCAGTCCAAATCTTGGACTGAGGGACCTCTGCTGTTTACCTGCCTCAGAATGAGAATTTTGTGGGATTTCTGGTTTCTCACCTGCTGGGAAGAGCAGATTCACTTCATCGGTGTTTAAGTAAAGAAAGTTTATTTGGCTACCATTTTTCCACCTCTTAGGAGGAAGGGGAAAAGGACCCAAGGAGAGCAACTGCATGAGATGTGTAAGGAGAATTTCTGCAGGTAACCAGAGCCCACAAGGGCTGAAGCTCGGAGAGTGTCACACATCGACAGCCTGAAAGGCACGGCGAGAACTGCTTGAAGCGTGGCGCACTTTCACACTTACCTGACTGTGGGATGGGAGTGCAGTGTAGGCCATGGGCTGATTCATCACTCCCTTCTGCTTCAGGAGAAGCATGCGTTTCTGGTCCTCACTCAGGTGCGCTCTCGGGGCCTGGAGCTGTGGCGGAGGCGGCTGCTGCTGCGGAGTGGATGGCTGGGGCTGTGGTTGTGGCTGCGGCTGCTGCTGCTGCGGCTGCTGTTGCTGTGACTGCATATACGGCATCAAGGGGTTTTTGTTGGGGTTGGCCATTGGGGGTGTCATTCTCTGGCCCAAATCCGCATTAAAATGGGTCAGAGGTTTAGTGTTACCATAGGTGAGAATATTGTGCTGTTTGCTTAAGGAGTTTGTACCCAAGTTATTTGGCTGCTGATTGATCATATTCATGTGATTCTGGGGGAGGTAGTTATTCATTGCTGTCTTCTGCAGGTTGTTTGCCATTGGAGGCACTATAGGGTTTTGGTTGTTAAAGGCTTGGGGGTACATCATTGGGCTATTTGGTTTTTCTGCAGTGAAGGCTGCTCCATATGGACTTGATGGAGGCCCTAAGGGAGACCAACTTGAAGTCTGGTTTGAATGCTGCTGCTGCTGCTGCTGCTGCTTCTGCTGCATGAGTTTGGCTCTTTGTTGCTGCTGGGCAGCCATCTGTTTGAGCTGTTCTGCTGGAGACATATCAGAGCTGGGCACAGCCACAGGGCCTGAGCCCGAACTGGCCACTGTCACTGCTGCTGGATTAAGGAGATAACCGTTGCCAGGCCGAGGTGGAGCCTGGGCTGGCGTGTGAGCTTGGTTTGGAGTTTGAGGGGACTGGACAGCACAGTTCGCTGGTGACCCAGCGGGGTTGGGAGCTGCAGGAGTGCTGGCCACTGAAGGTAAGCTTGTGGCCGTGGGCACAGTAGAAAAGGGAGGGCCAGAAGATGAAGGCCTGGCCTGGGGAGAGCCCAGGGGGACATGTGCAAAAGGAGAGTGGGAGGGGTCGCTCTTCACACTCGCATTCTCCTGGGAGAGAGGAGTCTCTGTAGCTGGCTGCGAGAATTCCGGCTCCTTCTTCTCTTCGAAGTCTTCATTGAACAGGTCCTGTATGTCATCCTCTGGAACCGTGTTGGCCAGTTCGTCTATTAATTCTTGCCACTCTTGGTCATTCAGGTTAATGTCTGAGAACAGTTTGTTCTGATTGGAAAGAGATGTTTCTGATGTGTCTATGCAGGTAGGGTCGTCGAGAGGTTCCTGTTTGAGGTCCTTGCTCTGCAGGATGGTGAAGCTGTCCTCGAGGTCGCTGCAGCCGTTGACGGGAAGCTTGATCTCAGGGAGCCTCCCATTCTTGCTTAGATCTTCTAGAAGCCCAGGCCCATGAGTCCCACTATTCTGCAAGGGCAGAGAAGGCTTCAGGTCAAGTTGGTGAAGAGGAGAAGCGGAAGGCAGTGGCAGGTTGTTGATGGCTTCCATCCCTGCAGGCATGTCCTTCCGCATTCGCTTGCTAGTGGGAGAGAAACTCCCTTCACAAGCACCATTCTGTTGGTCTCCATTAAGAGGGGATCGTGCTCCTTCCAACTTCCTTTTCACAGTCTCTTGTAGCTGGAAAAGAAATAGGAAAGAGGGTGACTCACTCCAATTTACTTTTAAGCATACTTAAATGTACATGGCCACACACTGACTTTTTCTGCTTTATAAGCCATAAAAAAGAAACTTCAATTTCAAAATCGGGCAACACTACAACTGAAATTCTATGGGAAAAGGTTTTAGCTAACAGCAGAGCTTGGAGGACTAAGGGAGAAGATAAACTTAGTATTAGAGGGTAGGAAACAAAATAAAAGAACATGACTTTAAACGGTGCTACTACTTTACAAATGAATGCTAAACATGAGACTCAGACCAAAATGTACCGTACTTGAGAAAGATGTTAATACTCTTCTAAAATTCTTGCCACATTTTGAGAACATCAAGAAATTAAAGCAACAATATTTGAAGAACATTAAAAAAACTGCTGGGGGAATATGGAATTGAACCTATTTACTGAGCAGCATACAACTGAAGATTAATTTTAAACATAACCCAAAACTTCCTTTTGGTTCTTATTTTTACTTCACTTTAGCACCATTTTATTCAGTCATCCACTCTCTTCTAAAAGCAAATTTCCATTGGCTTTCATGATATCACATTTTTTGGATTTCCTCCTTTCTCTCCATCTGCTCATTCTCAATCTCTTATGTATTCTTTGTTTGCCCTAAATGACAAGATAGATTCTTCAATGTTTTGTCTTAAGTGTTTTTCTTGTTTTTGTTTTTTTTTCTTCTGTTCACTCTATGCCTCCTTAGACCATTTCATCTAATACAAGGGCTTCAACCATCTTCTCTAGGCTGATGGTCCTAAAACAACATACCTAGCCCGATCTTCTCTGCTGAGCTCTATTAACTCTAACGATCTCCTCTTGGATAATTCATGAGCATTTAAACTCGACATGTCTCAACACTGGCCTCCTTGGCATTGGTTACTCAAGCATGATCCTCACCCGTGTCCCCCATCTCACTGTCTAACCAGATATCTGATACAGAAATTAGAGCATTTACAAAAACCCTTCCACATCACTGGTCACCACGTCCATCTGTGTCACTCTACGATGCCACTCATGCCTGTCCACACTGCCACTCTCTTAGGCCAGGCTACCACTGGGCCTTGGTGGATTTCAGAAGCAGTCTCCAGACTGATCCTTTCACCCACCCATCTACTCACTCATTCATCCATCACTTGTATTCATTGTTTTGTTTTCCCCTCATGTACTCTTCACATGCCATCTTTTTAAGAAAAAAATATTGTCCTTCTTGTTTATAACACTGCGGTGATTCCCATTGTTTTTGGATTAAAATCCAAACTGGCTCCTGAGAAAATCATCCAGCTACGCTTCATCTTTCCAGGTGCATCTTTTTGCCTATCTGCTCAGCATCCTCTGCAGCCCTCCCCTCACCTAGAATACAGCTCTATCTATGTTCCTGGAAGTCTTTCCACCCCTTAGAAGTGCCTCGTTTGCTTCTTTAATGCCTCCAGGGAAAACATCTCTGTTTTCTTTTCTTGGAACCTACTCCTTCTTCCCCTCCCCTTTCCCTCATTAACAGTTGCTTATTTTTCAGGTCAGATCCTAGATTTCCCTCACTGTAGGAAGTTTTAAGAAAGTCTATCCTTTACCCACCCCAATCACAACAGGTGCCTGTCTTAACCCACCTCTACTGGGATGGGTATAGTGGAATAAGTTTTTCCAAGCAACCTATACTTCCCCACTATGGCTCTTACCACTTCTGAGGCAGTGGTTTAAGTGTGTGTTCCTAATCTCCCAGCAAGTAGGACCTGTGGCTGAGCCATGTACTCTAGATTGCAATATTGCACCCAATGCTCAGGTTCTTAGCAATGGTTAATAAATAACTGTCCAACTTACAGGGGCTAAGAGAAGTGAGTTTGACTCAGAATAGAAAGCAGCCTCACTGACTGACTTGGAGGCTACATTCCTGTGAGGGGAGTGATGAAGCTCTTATTCTAGAGCAGTGATGGCAAACTGTTTAGAGATTTCAGTGATATAAACAGCTGGTCACAGTAGGTCAGGTGTGCCATAGGTTCGCCACCACTGCCCTAGAGAGTGTTGTGTCCACATTAATATATCTGGCTAAGAAAATTCTTGACACCTCTATGGGTGGGTGTGATGGTGCACACCTATAATTGTAGCATTCGGTAGGCTAAGGAAGAGTGGGAATTCAAGAGTATGAAGCCAGTATGGCCTACATAACAAGACCTGGTCACAAACAAACAAGCTAACTAACAAGCCAGCAAACCAACCTAATTCTTTTGCCTGTGGTTGCCCCTTCTGAGAGAGCCTGGCATAGAGAGGGGCTGGGGAGATGACCAGCTGGATTAGAAGGGTTTAGCAGCTTCCCACAGGCAAAGGCAGAAGTACAGCGGTGCAAGGTGGGAAGCAAGGCAGAGCAGCAAAGGAGCTGGGTAACACAGAGCCTTTAGAGCAAAGGAGCAGGATTTCCTCTGACCTCATACCCACAAGTGGAGCTGCCGTGGCTCTGGAGGAGCCCTGCATACAGCAAAACCAATCTGGAGAAGATGTGGTGAGTTTCAGGAATTGTCATTTTATTTCTGTGTGTCTTCTTGTACACTGAGAATTCCATTTTAAAAGTAAGCAAAGTAGAAAAGGTCCTGGAATGAAAATCCAATCCCATCCGTGTTCCTAAATCTCATATTTTTAATCACGACTGACCCTGTCTCAATCACTTAGCATAGGCTCCTGAACTGCTGCAAACAGAGCCTTAACTGGAACACACTGGAATTCGACTTCAAAGAAAATACTGGTTCAATCCATCACATTAAGCAGACACTGGTAGAAAATGATGTTATTTATGGAACAAACCAGAAGGCCACAGTTCTGATGACAGGTACGGCAGATACTTGGATGTACATAGTTCCAGATACAATGCCAAGTTCAAACATGACAGCTTCAGGGCCTGGATGAAACAAGGCTTGGGACACCTCCTGAAGTCATGTGAAGCTTGAAAAAAATAATCACTTATCTTAAAAATGAATTTGACATTATTTTACAAAGCACAAGTCTGTGATTCTGCTCTAGGTCATGTAATGGATGGGACAGGACAGTGAAAGAAAGACATTCCACCTGTTCTCTGTAAGACGGTGGTGGCCGAAATGATGGAGACAAATAGATCTCGTTGAGAATCTAAAGTTTTGCCTCTTACCATCTGAGTGGACAGGGAATAGATCGCAGTATTACAAAAACAGAAGCACGACTCTGGAGTTCAAATGCCTGGGCTCAGCTCCAACGTACCCCAGCCGAGAGTTAACACAGATAAACACTGTCTGGTCCGTAATAAATGTGGCTGCAAAACCCTCCATGAGAAAGGAAATTACACGAGGGCAGTGATTTTTCTGTTGTGTTTACTCCCCAGGTCTCCACAGCTTACCTCAATAAATATCTGTTGAATGAATGAGTTTTGGGAAACTTATATAACCTCTCCTAAGCCTTGCTTTCTTACACTTGATCTTAGCCAAAAGGCTGAAGCAATAAGCCTTGCTTTCCTGCTCAGCAAAATGGGTTAATAAGACCAAGCTCCTACAATTACTGTGAGGCTGTATTTGTTTGTTTGTTTGTTTGTTTTTTGGTCCTGGGAATCGAATTCAGGACCTTTATCTTGCCAGGCAGGCTCTTGTGCCGCTGAGCTATATCCCCAGAGGTGAGGCTATATTTAAATGAAACAGTGCAGAGAACCCTTAGCCTCACATCTGGTATCCAGGAAGCACCCACTAAGCCTCGGCTTTCCTATTTTCAAAATTCAGTGATACACAATCACAACTGCAACTGAAAGAGCATGCCTCCTGGATCTTCACAATACAAATAGGTGGAATGATCATATTCCTGTTCCCTAGCCGGCAAGACCCTCATGTTTTCCAAGCATCTGGTGTAGCTTTTTTAATATGAACAACAAAAATCAAATTTGCAATTCAAGCCCAAGTCCAAGTGCTAATGCATTCATGTCCTAGATTGTAGAGCAGCAAAGGCTAGGTTGTTGAGGCTCAAATCAAATCCATTTTCAGCGCGCCACCTGAACGGGGCTGCTGCATGTATCCTTTCCCCGAGGGGCTCACATTCTCCTCTCCTGGCCCCTTTTAACCTGAATCTTGATATATACATACATACATATATATATATATATATATATTTTTTTTTTTCCTTGTGTATCAGCATTTTGGAATTAAGAGCAACACCACCAAAATTGCTATGCTGTGGTTTCTATGCTTTGTTTTGTTATATACAAGATAGTAAAACAATCTGTCTCCTCACTCTTTGCTATTTGGAAAGGTGGTCTGACAGCCTAACCCTCTCTTTATGTCCCTCGTGGGAGACAGAAGGAGATTGGGAAGGAAGACATCTCTCTGTGTGTTTAAGAAGGCCGACTTGCAGGCAGTGAGCGTTAAGAGAAATGGCCTGGAGATTCCACACCCTAAGGACTCAGGTCACCCACAATCCAAGCAGCCTATCTTAGTAAATCCCAGGTGATGTTGTGTTTACTCCCCAGGTCTCCACAGCTTACCTCAATAAATTTGGGAGTCCTGTCTCCCAAAGCTGGAAGCCCCTTACTGTGCCTGGCAGAATCATGGAAACTCTTCTGAGCGCCAGCCCCTTATTCCTGTACTACATCATCACATACAAATGCTTCCTTCCATCCAGGGAAGCTGCGATGCTAGGAGCTGAACTGTGCCATTCATCCAGTGCCTGTGACGGTGTGGGCCACTATCAGGTGTCAGTTCCGCTACAGGAAACTATTTGTCCTCCAGAGTGGCTCCAGCACTCTATAGTGTTTAGAGTGTAGCTTGAGGACTGGCTGGTGTTCCTGTGAAACTGTGCTCTGTGTGTGTGTGTGTGTTACACCCATATCAGTAGTTGTAAGAATAGCTGTGCCTTTGGAGTCACAAAGGACTTTCACACAGGGTCCTATTTTATCCTTGTAGCAGAGCTCTGGGCAGCCCAGTGCGGGGCTGGTGGTTGTACTGGCAAAGGGTCACGTTATGGA